ACTGATGATAAATCAGCATATTAGAATGATTTCTGAAGATCATGTGACACTGAAGACTGGAGTAATGATGCTGAAAATACAGCTGCGCATCACATGAATAAATTAGATTTTAAAGTATATTAAAATAGAAAAAAGTTATTTTACATCATAATAATATTTCACAATATTACATTTTTTCCTGTATTTTTGATCAAATAAATGCAGCCTTGATGAGCAGAAGAAACTCCTGTAAAAACATTAAAAATCATTCTAATCCCAAACTTTTGACCGGTAGTGTACATGATCCCAAATAGGAAATAAAACAGTTATTGAATAAGCATGTCTCCTGAAACAATAGTGTCTCATATTTTAGAGCATTCTCTGCAGTTTGGGAGAGAAATCAATCAAATCTGACACACTCCTCTTTGTCCTGTTCGATGTGTTCAGGCTGCCCAGGGATGAAGATCCTGAGTTTGCAGTCCTTCCATTTCTTCCTGGTGGTCAGAATATGAGGCAGGAGAAGCGTGAGACCTGCAGATCAACAAGAAGAGACATCAACATCACACGTCAGACCTGACAGAAGGGAAGAACACGCGGCCGTGACGTCACCTCCGTCATCAAACAGCCACCAATCGTCAATCGTCCCTTTGCCCCGTTTCTTCTTGAACTGGCTGCTGGCCTCCACCAGACGCTGGTTCATCTTCGCCAGATCTGATGTCTGAGGAACATCCAGAGAGACTGAGGACGGAAAACAACATCTCTCAGCTCTTCTGGACACACAGGTGACCTTTACGATCAGAATCCAGACTGTGTTTAGTGTTAATGTGTTTGAAGTGGACTGCAGAACTAATGCGAGTCTGTGGATTTTCTGACACCGAAGTCAAGCCAAAAATCTCTGAATTTGATTGCAAAAGATACAAAATATTAAATCAAGTAGCATCTGCATTCAGATTGTTTCTCAGAACGAAATCCACTTTCTGAGTTACATATATAGTGTTCAATGTCCAAGACATTTTGTGTTCATTTAGAATAATATATTTATTGTGTCATATTTTGAAATTTAGCAAACTTCATCTTGAGGAATGTTTTGTTGAAAAAGTGTTCTTTTAATACTATAGTTCACTAAAACCATAAAAAAAAAGTGTAGCTTCAAATAAAATAAATTTTTACTGAAATAAATTAAAAAAATTTTTTTTTTAAACACTATCACAATGAACTAAAACCAAAACCATTAAAACAATATTTTTGTTCCTTGAAATAAAATAAACATTTCCTGAAAAAAATATTTAAAACTTTTACATTTTTTTATTTCAGCTAGTTGCCAAAGGAAAAATGTCTTATTTTCATTTAGTTTAACCCTTGTGCGTTCTTCAGTCATTTCTGACCAGAGAATTTTTTTAAATCGTAGCTTCACCAGAATGGTACGAAACTTGGTGACTTTTATGGCACTTGGTATGTGAACACAAAAAAAAATTGAGGGCATGATTCAAAAAAGCTAAGTGGTCATAAAAAAATATAGTCACACTCATGAGCTGTGTCTCATTTAGAAGGCTGCGCCCTCCAGAGGTCGCATCCTCTGTAGGATGCATTATACGAAGTGTCCTCAACCTAGAATTAAACAAGACGGCCTTCGTAGGACAGCCAGAAAAGGAAACAGGAAGTATCACATTGCTATGCCAACACATTTAGAGCATCGTTGCGCTCTCACACTACTTAAATGAAGGAAAATGATTTCTAAATTTGGAAAGTAATTTGAAAAAAAAAATGCTTTTACTTGTTTTATTTTGTTCAGTGTTTGAGGAGCTGCAGCGTACGTACAGCAGACATCTGTTAGAGAAAAAAAGTTTATCCGTTTTTACCGAGGTGATTTAAGGTAAGTTGTAAACAGAACACCACATCTGCGCTTGTGTGTACATCTGCCGGCGCCGGCATTTTTCAAATTAACAACGGTTGTTTACGGCGACGCAAAGAATTGTGGGTTATCTGTAGCAGCGAAGGATACACCTCATGCATCCTCCGAATTCCTGTGAAAGAAGGTCGCATTCGGAGTGTCCTACTTGCTTTTCTGAAATGAGACAGCCTCGATGACGTTAGTGATGACCGGTTCGCGAACGAATCGTTCAATTTAACCGGTTCTTCTTAGTGAACCGGTTGAACCAGTTCACCAAATCGGACTGAATCGTTTGAAACGGTTCGCGTCTCCAGGATACCCCTCATGCAGCCTCCGAATTCCTGTGAAAGAAGGTCGCATTCGAAGGTCGCATTCGGAGTGTCCTACTTGCTTTTCTGAAATGAGACAGCCTCGATGACGTATGCAGCCTTCGAATGCGACCTCCGGAGGGTCATTATAGTAATAATTATGCAAAAACCTACACTTCAAATCAACATTTCAAACAACAAAAAATATAAACCTTGACAAAAAGTAGTCTTTGAGAATGCCTTAATATACATTTAAATCCACAACCTAATAAAAGTAAACAATTATGTATAAAAACAAATGGGGAATTCACAAGCCTCTCTATAATGAGCCTCTAACTAAAATGACAAACTTTATAGACATAAAGACAAAATTAATAAAACTATATAGACATAAAAAAACATATAAATGCAATCTAAAATGAAAACAAAGATAAAAAATAATTCAAACTATTAGTAAAAACTATAATAGTATCTCAGTGGTAGTAGCGTGTGCTATGTTTATTTAAAATAAATGGCACTTGTTTTGACATTTTGTTGTCTAATTTAAATACATGTATCTTAAATTGTGGCTCAAGTGTCCAAATATGTTTGTAGCCACTATTTGTGACCCTGGAGCACAAAAGCAGTCATAAGTAGCACGGGTATATTTGTAGCAATAGCCAACAATACATTGTATGGGTCAAAATTATACATTTTTCTTTTATGCCAAAAATCATTAGGATATTAAGTAAATATCATGTTCCATGAAGATATTTTGTAAATGTCCTACCGTAAATATATCAAAACTTAATGTTTGATTAGTAATATGCATTGCTAAGAACTTCATTTGGACAACTTTAAAGATGATTTTCTCAATATTTAGATTTTTTTGCACCCTCAGATTCCAGATTTTCAAATATTGTCCTATCCTAACAAACCTTACATCAATGGAAAGATTATTTATTCAGCTTCCAGATAATGTATACATCTCAATTTTGA